TAAACACATGATAAACCTAGTGATTAAAAATCAAATATTTGAAAAATATTTGATTAAAGAAAATGTTCCATATATAATGTTAAAACAATAAGATATATATACTCTCCCTCTCTCTCTCTCTCTCTCTCTCTCTCTCTCTCTCTCTCACACACACACACACACACACACACACACACACACACACACACACTTTCTGCTGCCCTGGAGTTCCATCAGCAAAAAGGCCATCTAGATAGAGCTCCTCACCACGGGACCAGAACAATGAACCAAAATAAACCTCTTTTCTTTACAAAAAACAGACTTTTATAAAGTGTATTCTCCATTTTATTTTTAAAGTGAACTTATAAAAATAAGATGCTTGAAGAAAATATCAGTGTTACCACTGAGAGGTAAATTTAAAAGCACTTAGCATTTGTTATGGTTTGGATATGAGTTATCCCCCAAAAGCTCACATGTGAGACAATGCAAGAAGGTTCAGAGGAGAAATGATCAGATTTTAAGAGTCTTAGCCCAATCAGTGATTTAATCCCCTGATAGGGATTAACTGAGTGGTAAATGAAGTGGTAGTGTATGGCTGGAGACGGTGGAAATTAGGGTAAGGCTTTGGTGTACATAATTGTATCTGGCAAGTGGAGTTTCTCTCTCTCTGCTTCTTGATCACCAGGATGTGAGTTGCTTCCCTCTGCCACACTATCTCTCCATGATGTCCAGCCTCACCTTGAGCCCTGAGGAATGGAGCTGGCCTTCTGTGGATAAGACCTCTGAAACTGTGAGCCCTCGAAATAAACTATTCCTCCTCTGTAATTGTGCTGCTTGGGTCTTTAAGCCATAGCAGTAAAAAAAGCTGACTAAAACAGCATTTTACTCTTCCTATTCTTATTTASTTTCTACATTTTGTACAATGAATGAATTATTTCTATAAAAGCTTCCAGTAAACTTCTACTTACTAGAGACATGGAAAGACAAGCAAGCTAAATGAGTAGAAAGACAATAATTATTTTAAAATAAATCTTAACAATACCTATTCATCCAAGAACCAGAGGACACTTTGCAAACTATTAAGGTGAACAATTTTATGTGTTTTAGAAAGGAATTAGATAACAAATAACTTTATGTGAAGAGTTGAGAATGTACTAAAATGTGTGCTGATAAATCAGATCAACTCAACCTGAGTTTTGGCTTCTCTCAATAGTAGATGGCATCTTTTGAATATTTGGATAGTACTTTTCAGAAAGAAAAAATATACTTGAAAATTGAATATAATGAAACTGTTATGGTTTAGATATGTGGTGTCCCCCAAAATCTCATGTGTGAAGAAATGCAAGAAATTTTAGAGGTGAAATGATTGGGTTATGAGTGCTTTAAGCCAATCAGTGAATTAATCCCTGGATAAAGATTAACCAGGTGGTAACAGTAGGCAAGTAGGATATGGCTGAAAGAGGTGGTCATTGAGAGTGCTTTTGGAGTGTATAGTCTGTTGAGCAGAGTTCTCTCTGCTTCTTGGTGCAATTCCCTGAACTTTTTTCTTCCACCACATGATTCTACCACCACCCTATAGAATGAAGTTGGCCATCTATGGACTGAGACCTTTGAAACCATGGGCCTCAGAGTAAACTTCTCCTCCTTAAAATTGCTCTTTTCAGGTCTTTTGATTGCAGCAATGAAAAAATTAAAACAGAATACATATTATAATATTTTAAAAACTGTTTTAGCAGACTTTTCTAAAAGCATACACATGGAGAGGTCGTGGAAATGAAGACTTTCATTTTTATTCCATATTTTTTGTATTGCTTGAAATGTTAAGGAGGATACATTATTTATACAATATTTAAAACTTTAAAAAAAAGGAAAAAAGGAGAAGTCTTGACACATTTAATTCCAAAACAATTACTTTACTATGTGATGCATGGCAGAATTTTCTCCATAATTAAATAATCCAAAAAGTTTTAGAGTCATTGCATATAAACAARTATTTATAATGTCCCATTTCTTGTTAGAGATTTCCACTTAATGTACACTTTTATACAAAAGTCCTGATGAAAATTCAGTCTCAGTTGTATAAAAGCTGTTGTGAATAAAAAAAAATATATTACTGTAAAATAATTGCATTCTCCAAGTGGCACAACAAATTTTAGGTCATAAAATTGATAAATAAAGATCTGTCTTTTTAAGAGGGAGCAATTGTAAGGCAATAAAATAAACCATGTAAAGATAATTCTGCAGAAAACAGTTTCAAGTCTTGGAATTAAAGTATGCTTTAAAGTAAAAGGTACATAGATTTTCCCTTCACTCCTGCTTTATGTATGTTTGAATATTTTTATAGTAAAAAAAAATTTAAAATGTACTATACAAGGTTAATGCCTCCTATTATCACCAGTAGACAGGGAAAGATAGCTCTAATTACATATTACTGATTAACATTTGAGTATTGGTATATTTTTATGTGCAACTTATAATAATAACAATTTCCCTTCTGTAGATAATGATGTACAAAATGATTTATAAGCATTATCTGACTTAATAACCTTAAGTTTGTGGTTTAATATATCCATTTAATAGATGAGGAAACAGCATCTCAGAAGTTAAGCAACTTGTTTGAGATTATAAATTTAGCTAATGAGAAATTAGGCCTTTAAACCTATGTATGTATGATTCCAAAGTCCATGATCTTCATTTCTCTACTATTCTACCTAAAAAACATGTCAATGTTTTTAGAGTTAATTACCATCACTTTGAAACTTACTTTCACTGATGYTCATGGCCTACATTCATTCATTCCTCTGTGTTTGTCATTTGTTCCATTAGTAACTCCATCTATCAAATGTGGGAAAACAATTTTGCACCAATTTGTCCAAACTAATTTGAAGAAAATTATTACTTTTTTAAAAAAAGAAAAATCATTTATAAAAATTTGAGGTGAATTATTTTTGCACCAAAGCTCAGATGAGTTCATAGACTATCTTATTTTAGARTGCTTATTAAAATTTCTGAAATAAGTGCTATAAAGGCAAAACTGACCCAATTTTTTTAAATTTTTGGAACCTAACTCATGGTGTGTCATCAAAATTGTGAGTACAGAATCACTTTGTAGAAGAAACAGTTAATTAACAGCACCACTAAGGTGAATACTGAGTATAGTTAAAGAAAATTATTTAAATTTATTCATTTAAGAAATATATATGGAGTTGATATTCAAGATTCTTCTGGATAAAAGTTTTTTAAAATGCATTCCTTCTTGGTGGAGCGTACCGTCTAATAAAAGACAGACTTGTAAAGACTCACTCCATTGTGAGATCTAAACTGCAGTGGCCCCATGGAAGAAGTGGCACCAGAAGCCAGGGARGCATCCCAGGTACAGAGAGTTAAATTAAGACCGCAGGATGAATACCAACATGTGGGATTAACCAGGTCCACATTAACAACATCCAACTGTTCCTATATATTCAAAACTGTAAGTTTTGAAAGCAATGTAATAAACCCTTAAAAAATTAAACGTGGAATTAGTAATTCAGTAATACTATGTCTGAGAATGTACACAGAGGAATTGAAAGTACAAACTACAACCAATATTTGCATGCCTCTGTTTATACATGCATTAGTCACAATGACCAAAAGGTAGAAACAACCCTGTTGTCCATGCACAGATAAATGAAGACAAAACAGGGTATCTACATACAATTGAATGTTATTCAGCCTCAAAAAGGAAGGAAATTCTGACATGTTATAGCATGGATAAATTTTAGAGACATTTTGAAATAATAAAAAATGAAATAAGTCACAAAAGGACAAGTGTCCTATGATTGCACTTACATGTGATGCTTAGTATAGTCAAGTTAATAGAGACAGAAAGTAGAATGGTGGTTTCCAGAGGAGGGGGAGATGTCTTATTTTTAAAAGGTAATTATTTTAAACSGTGCATAGAGACCTCTAAAACGGGTGCTATAAAGGGAATGGGGAATGTTTAATGGACAAAGAATTTTAGTTGGGGAAAGTACTTAGTGTCACAGACTATACACTGAAGATGGTTTAAAATGTAAATATTACATTTTCATAAGTATGTGTCCTTTATGTACATACATACACACCACATACACACATTTTTTTTCATATTTGAATCATTCACTTTTCTCATGGGTGATAAAGAAAACCTCAATTTGTATTCAATCAATCAGAAAAAAAAAAGTGGATCAACAGCTATTTATAGAGCATCCCCTGGATTAATGGACTTCTGATTATCACCTTGAATGTTCAAGTATGTTCACTCAAACACACACACACACACACACACACACACACACACACACACAATAGGAAAAACTAGCATTTCTACCCCAAAAGTTAAAAGTTATCAAACAAAGTGTTTCTCAGTTATTGAAATAAAACAAGTTCAAACTTCACTTTCAAATGAAAAAAAAAAGTGTATTTTCATGGTTTAGCTTAAAAACAATTAACAAAAGTGTCATTTTTGGACTAACTACAAGGGATAAAAATTTATGCCCTGTAAAGTAGTAGTTTTCAAAAAACCTGGGTGATCAAAAGCAATGAGTAACCACCAAAAAAATTTAATCATAACTGATATATTAAAATATTTATGATAGCAATCAGAGTTCATTTTGTTTAAATAAGTTCAGCAGGCACMGAATACAAAGAATCAAAAGAACAGGTTTTGAAATTCAAGAGCAAAGCAAATCTTTGAGTCATTTGTATACTTCAAGGTTCCAGTTACTGCAGCTTTTACTGGCTGCCCATATTTTTCTATTCCCAATAGCATCAACAAAATTATTTTCAATTATAATAGAAGTTGGTTTTACTTACTCCTGGTGGAAATATCTGAATAGTATTTCCAGCTATGTCTAGAATCCTTAGATTTTTAAGATGACAAATCCCCTGTGTCAGAAAACAAGAAAGAGAAATGTTATAAAATCTAATATCTAAAATCACAAGTATTTAAGTTCAAACTTGATGACAGTGAGTATCTTTTCCAATTGCTTGACCATTCCCTCCATACACCTTTCCTAAGAAGATCCCTATGGGTTGCCACAGAACTTTGAATTCTCCATTTTTTTGACCACCCCAGGGCATTATAACATGCTATGAGTTAGACTACTTCTAGATTCAGATATCAATTCTGAYAGTGAATACGTGTAACTTTGGGAAATTTTATAAGTATGASTTCTCCATCTGTAAAATGAAAATGCTAATAAAAATCCTTACTTCAAATAGCTGTTCATAGATTAAGTAAGTTGCTAACTTGAGTGTTTATGAAAGGGCCTAATATGTTATGAGTACTCAATAGTCTGTACTTATTATTAAAACAGAAAGAATCTGAGAAACAAAACAATTCTGGAATGTTGTTTCTGTTGATAATGCCACCAAAATGTATCATGCATATTCCTTTTGGTTAGCACTGTGCATAMAAAAACTTTCCTTACAAAGGAAATAAAATCTGTTGCTGTATCTCTACCCCCAGTGTGACTGCGTTGCCATAGTAACCACCTGGTTGTTATGGTACATCTTAGTTTTAGCATTTCTAGTAATAAGCAAAGGATAAGTAGGATTATTTTTAACTAGAAACATCAAAAGCTTTTTTATTAATTGAAAAATATGGGCTGGGAATGTGGCTCAAGCGGTAGTGTGCTCACCTGGCATGAGTGGGGCCGCTGGGTTTGATCCTCAGCACCACATAAAAATAAAATAAAGACGTTGTGTCCACCGAAAACTAAAAACAAATATTTGAAAAATTCTCTTTCTCTCTCTCTCTCTCTCTCTCTCTCTCTCTCTCTCTTTAAAAAAAAAGAAAAATATGGGCATGATACACTAAATGATTTCAACCACTTGTCGAGAGAGTTCTGAACAGTCACTCTTATTTTAATGACCAACCTCTCCCTGGAGAATGGTATATGTCTCTTTAGTGGTGACAACTGTCTATCTCTTTGATCTTATCACAGGTTTCATTCCCTAAAAGCAGATGTTGAGATGGAATTTGGGGTACTAGATGGTTTTTAAGGACCTAACCCTATAAAAAGCAGGGTCAATAAGTAGAATTGGCAAATGGAAAAGTCAAGGTGGGCTACAGACCCAATAGACTTCACTCAACTGGGTCGGGAGCTCCTGTGAGTATTGCCATCCAAACTGTTCTCTATCAGGCAGAAAAAGCCATCTATTTATAACCCTTCCTTGCTGTCAATCACGGAATTTGGGAGGTTCCAGGAAGAGAATGAGCTTGGAGAAGAAAGGAGGTTCCCTGCAACTGAATAGCTAACTAAGCCTGTCTGCTGTCCCAACTCCTACAGCTGAGTAACAGGTCCTTGAAGGGAAATATACCATCTATTACACACAAAGTCCTCTCCTTAAGTCCCACAAAACCTTCCATTGCCATGATACTCTCATTATTGTGTTAGCTTAAAAGACTTTCCAACTCTCAATATGTCCTCGGAATCTACAAGTTAAAGTATAAGGGCTTTCCAGCCACTTGAAACACTTGATAGTGCTAACTCTATGGCTGTTAAGTTTCTTGTCCATTTTTTGTTCTTGCTATTCATGACTGCTGCTATTGATCCCTCTTGATATTTTTTGTTCTTGACTTGGTTTTATCTTTACATATTTACATTCTCCAAAATTCCTTAATCAAGAATTAAAAACTCACAAATGAGTGATGACAAAGTTGTACTGTGTGAATKGCAAGTGTTCTGAAGCGTTAAAGATACAGAAATATGAGAGAAAATTATAGGGCATTTGGTATTATGAGATCAGACAAGGCTTTCCAGAAGAAATAAAGTTTAAGCTGAGATTGTTTGATATGTTTGCAATAAAGAATGTTCAATTAAGAGACAAGAATCCCTAGGAGATAACCATAAGGCATGTAGTTGGTCCAAAAGATAGTAAGCAAAAAGGWCTGAGGAAAGAAGAATTCAGATTATGAAATGTCTTTTATGCATGTCATGTGTATTAACTTCTTGGGATTCTTTAGATTGCAAGTTAATAGAAACCCAACCCAAACAAACAAATGGRTAAATTGAGGTAACAGAAAAATTTTTAAATATTGATATTGTCTACAGCTGGTTCTCGGTGTTCAGTAGTGCCATTGTCTCTTTCTTTTGTGACAGCACATTGAAGTCAGAGTCTCCTAAAGAATGGCAAGATAGAAACTAGTAGATCTGGGCTTGCATTCTCCCAGTTTACCAATCACAACACAAAGAATGCATTCGTTTCCCATGAGTCCAGCAAAGYTCCTTCTCATTGATCTAGCTTAAGTCAAATGCCTATCATTGACCAAGTCACTACGTCTAGTGGGATGGAATATTCTGATATGCTGGACCTGACCYGACCTGACCAGTGGGAAAGGTCAACACTAAGGAAACATCACAAAGTGATTGGAGAAGGGGGAATTTCACAAAGCTGAATGCTGATACCATTATGAGAATAAGCATAGATGGATGCTAGGAAGAAAAACATAACCATATATTTAATGTCAACTATATACTAATCACTGAATATGTCACCTATATACTAATCACTGAGTTAAAGGATAGTATTCATAGTATTCATTATGATGAATGAAAACATATGAATTACATCTTTAAATTTTTAAAAAAATTGTCATTTGTCCTATTTTACAAAAGCAGATTCCATGGRATATTGCTATCAAGTAAGAAATCTAAGTTAAATTCAGGAAATTCTCTGTTAACAAAGTTAAGCCGCTTTACTATAGGACTTCGCAAGACTTTTAACATACTAATGCATTTTCTAAATCTCCAAGAAGGGGTGATATACCTATCTAAGTTGGGCTGTTAAAACAGAGTACCACAGCCTGGGAAATTTATGAACAACAAAAATTTATTTCTCACATTTTTGGAGACTGCAAGTCCAAGGTCAGGACTCCAGCATATCCTCTTCTGGGTTGCAAACTGCTAACTTCTCAGATCCTCACAGGGTAGAAAGAGAGCTTTAGAGCCCTCTGAGGCCTCTTTTATAAGGGCAATAATCCCATTTATGAGGGTCCACCCTCATGACCTAATCACTTTCCAAAGTCCCCACTTGCTAGTATCATTACATTGTAAGTTAGGGTTTCAACATATGAATTTTGGAGGGGCACAAACATTCAGTCCATGATAGCATCTTTGAAAACACATGTTCTCAAAAGAATACACAAGACTCATACCCTTGGAGAATGGTTTGGGGAAAGATGGATTAGACCTTATGTTAACCACTCTTATTTTAGTTCCTAATTATCTATCTTTGTTTATGAATTCTGAAATTCTTTTGGGGAGCTTTCAAATTCTGCTGCCATTGTTACCTTATGATCTATCTGCCTTACTTCTAAAGCCACAAGAAGTRTAAATGTAATTTACAATGTAGAAGAAAAGATTCATAATTTGCTCTTTATCAAAACAAAGAGTTTTTATAATGCCTTATCACTTATAATGCAAGCAAAAAATAAAAAAGATAGATTGAATCATATTAAATGTCCAAAGAATTAAATTATCCAAGGCATTATTTTAGATGAAAGTTCATGATAGGACTGATTATAATTTTAATTTTAAAAACTTATACTTCTTGGGATTTATAAAATTGCAATAAGAGTAAGGTCAAATTTGATGAACAYATGTTTAAATCAGACAGATATGGGCATCACCCCCTTTTCTCTTTCAATATTGTGTCAAGTTACAACTGTTCYTGTTCCTTATTCTAATGGTGATAATAAGAAGTGTGATGTCACAGAGCTGTTGTGAACAATAAAAAAATTGTTTCATATGATGATGCATTGCAGCTTTTATAGATTTCCCTCAAACAAAAATTTGTTTTAATAGATTTATTTTATAATTTTAACATTTATTTTATGTGTTTACAGAAATTGGAATTTTTAGGATAAAATTTTTGAAATGTACTCAATTACAGCCTACCACCATGTCATCACAGATTATAGTATAGATAAAAATTTTAAAAGTATTATTCTTATAAAAGAAAAGTGAAATGGTAGGGAGTTTTCACTTATATACATGCCTAATCAATCTGCTAATTTTTTTAGAATCAAATTGCAAGTTATTACTCTTTTTATTTTAATTTTTTTTTCCTGTGGTACTGAGGACTGAATCAGGGGTGCTTTGCCATCAAACTACACCCACAGTCCTTTTTTTTTTTATTGGTTGTTCAAAACATTTCAAAGCTCTTGACATACCATATTTCATACATTTGATTCAAGTGGGTTATGAACTCCCAGTTTTCCCCCATATATAGATTGCAGAATCACATCGGTTACACATCCACGTTTTTACATACTGCCATACTAGTGTCTGTTGTATTCTGCTGTCTTTCCTATCCTCTACTATTCCCCCTCCCCTTCCCTCCCCTCCCATCTTCTCTCTCCATCCCATCTACTGTAATACATTTCTCTCCCTTGTTTTTTCTTTCCCACTTTCCCCTCACTTCCTCTTATAAGTAATTTTGGATAACGATGAGGGTCTCCTTCCATTTTCATGCAATTTCCCTTCTCTCTCCCTTTCCCTCCCACCTCTCGTTCCTGTTTAATGTTAATCTTCTTCTCATGCTCTTCCTCCCTGCTCTGTTCTTAGTTGCTCTCCTTATATCAAAGATGACATTTGGCATTTGTTTTTTAGGGATTGGCAAGCTTCACTTAGCATAAACTGCTCTAATCTGCTAATTTTTTGTTCCTTCATTTTGCTGTACAACATGCATTCCTTGTCAAATTATTTCTAATTTGCATAAGGAAGGAAGGTAAATGTATTGACATGTTCCTGGTAGAATAGAACTCTCGAACTGGGAAATCTGAGGAAAGTTTAGTAAAGGCACTATTTATAAAAGACTAGTTTTAAGGAAGCTAAGGTTCCTCAAACCTTAGAAAAGTGGTTCCTTAAACCTAGCTCACCCTGCCAGAGAAGGTGCCATAGTAATTGCTTCTGGTTCTCTCTCCTCATGCCCTTTCATTCTGAACTAACGGATATCATTGATTATATCCAAGAAGAAGCCAGAGGACAAAGGAGCTCTAACTCCTTTGTTAGATGCCTATAACTAATAAACTGCCCAGGCACAGAGCAGGTTATAAAGAATTGATGACAGATAAAGAGGAAAAATTGAAGACATCCAGCACATATTTCAAATGAACCTGTGCTTTTATTCTATATAGATGGTTATAGATTAAACATATACTACTCACTTAAACAAAACAAAAATACAAGGTTCCATGCTTTGCTTACCTCTGGCAAAACTTCAATGTAGTTCCTGACCAGAAGAAACTTCCGGAGCTTCTTCAAGAATTTAATCTCTTCAGGTATGCAACTGAGTTCATTGTAGTTAAGTTGAAGTTCACGAAGATTCTTAAGGAGACAAAGTTCTGTGGGAATGCTGACTAGCTTATTGCAATTTAAACTCAGATGTGTAAGGCTTTTTAATCTTAAAAAAAAAGCATATGAATGAAATTCATAATAAGAGAATCCACAGTATAGGCACAACCCATTAGAAGCCATGTGTCACTTATTTTACGTACCTCATCTGAGGTTCACTTTAGTCAAGTGTTCACATCTACTGTAAGTCATTTTAGCAAAAAAAGTCTTTGCTGAAATTTAATTTTTAAAGATTTCTTTTTAGGGGATTGGGTTGTGGCTCAGCAGTAGAGCACTCGYCTAACACAGGTGATGCCCTGGGTTCGATCCTCAGCACCACATAAAAATAAATAAATAAGGATATGRTATCCAACTAAAACTAAAAAATAAATATTAAAAAAAGGATTTCTTTATAATCAGATGGCTATGTCATAAGTATGTTATATAATAAATATATAGATTTTTTTAAAAGTAAATTTTTATTTTCAATCTTTATACTTATACATTAACTATCAAAAAGGAAGCTAGAGGACAAAGAAAGACATGCATATACATGTGGAAGGATAGATAGAGATATAGGTATAAATAGATATATATAAATAGTAAASACATATCGAGTACCAAGCAGTATTAATTTTTTGCTCTGGAATACACAAAGATGAATCAACTACAAATTTTGCTCTTTTGGATACCACAGTTTAGAAAAAGACATTAAAACCAGAAAGTGAAGATAAAAAATGTACTGGATAGCCAGGTGCAGTGGTGTATACCTGAATCCCAGAGGCTCTGGAGGCTGAGGCAGAAGATCCCCCATGATCCCCATTTCAAAGCCAACCTCAGCAACTTAATGAGGCTCTAAGCAACTTTGTGAGACCTTGTCTCAAAATAAAAAAATAAAAAGAACCAGAGATGTGACTCAGAAGGAAAATACCACTAGGTACTAAAAAAATTTTTTTAAAAGAAAGGAAGATGATAGGGAAATGAATATGAAGGAAATGTGAGTCTACTGTGGCAGATATTGCACTTGAGGTRTATCACAAGTTTTTTTGGAAGAACTAACAGTTTTTATTTTATTCTGAAAAATAGAACTAGTAAAAGAGGAAAACAACAAGAGGGAATGCTAAGCTATAAAAATGTTATGAATAAGGAAACAGAAGGGAATTGTTACCACTGAGCATGAATTGTGTATTAAATATAATAATCAGTATAACCCTGAAGTTGAGGCCAGTGGACAAAAGGACAGTCCGTGTAGGTAGTGAATGACTGGGTGAGGAAGATGGGGGCTGATTCAAAAGGAAATAAAATGCTAATACCTCCAGAGACTTCCCCCTCCCCCAACCTGTTGCCAAGTTTACCTGCCTCCAGGGAATTATTCCTCCCTACAAGGAGTTGTGAATGAGTAGCCCCTGGGTGGCTCCCTTTCTGCCTGTACCCCTGTGTGGCTTGTTCCTGCRTTTGGATCATTCCATGTTTTKGGGTTATGAGGGCAGAATGAGAAGWGGGGGCATAAGAACAAAGGAAATCTGAAATCTATAAAAGGACTCCCTCACTCCCTGGGGCACCAGCTTTTGACCCCCTCCACTGTGGAAGAGTCATTTTGCTCTTTCCTCAGCGATTTTCAGGTGCCCCAGGGGAACAGGGACTTAGAATCTGATTCTCCACACGGGTATCATCTCTGGTCTCAAAGTCAGAATTATTTCTCTTATTATTCTTAGGCAGTTGAAAGTGTGAGACTAGAGGTTAGRGAAGGGATGTAATCACCAGTGAGAGCAACTGAGAGGGGACTCCATGCACACAATGGTGGAAACCATGTGAGTGACAGGAGAAAAAAGAAGAAAATGGAGGCGGGGAAAGAGAGTGGGGGAAGCCAACAGGAAGAGTCCTCAGAAAAATGAATACCTRACAATTAAAACTTAAAGGCACACAGAGAAGTCATGAGTAGAGAAATAGAAAAAGACTCAGATCAACTAGTAATCTCTAAAGGCGTGGGAGAAGAGTACTTAAAAATCAAAGGGATGGTCAAGAATTTAAATGTTGAGTTTAAATGTCAAAGAGATATAATTGAAATTAACAAACTAAAGGCTAAAACTGAAAGCAGAGAGAGAAATTATAACGTCAATATTCTAAAGATCTATTCTATCTCTACCTTGTAGCCACAATCGGAAAATACAGTTTAAGGAATTCCATCTGTAGAAACATAATTTTTAAAACTCTCTATAGAATAGGTGAGAAAACATTTAACAAAAGACATGAGGGACCTTTATGTTGAAAACTATAAATTATAACTCAGAAAATTTAAAAGGATTCTAAACAAAAGTAGAGATCCATCTTATTCAAGTGTAGAAAGAAAAAAATACTGCTAACATGTCAATTTTTCCATTAATAGATCTGTAGATTCAGTAAGAGATCCAAATAAAAATCTCAATGGGTTTTTTTGATATTAAAATTGACAAATCAATTTTAATATTTATATGGAAATTCAAAGGACCCAGAATAGCAAGAACTAGTACTAAAGAAACAAAATTAAAAAGAAGGAAGGAAAGAAAAGAAAGAGGAAAGGGGAGGGGGAGGTATGGAGGCATTCCTACAATCCAGTTTCAAATCTTACAAGGCAGCTACAGTAACCAAGGTAGTTCAGTCCTGGGGGGGGAAAAAAAAAAAAACGATAGTGTAATGGATTCACTATTTGTGTCCCCCGCCACCCACCCAAACTCATATGTTAGAGACCCATCACCACTGGGAGATCATTAGAAGGTGGGACCGTTAGGTCATTAGGGTGGAACCTTCATAAATGGGATCACAGCTTTATATAAAAGGCCCCAGAGTGGCCTTGCCCCTTCTACTATGTGAGGACACAAGGAGAAGGCACTGTTCTCTGAACCAGAAAATGTGTCCTCTCAGATATCAAATCTACCAGCTTCTAGAATTATAAGGAAAAAAMATCTGTTGTATATAAGCTACCCAGTTTATGGTATGTTAGAGCATCCCAAATGGACTGAGACAGWAAAATAAATCAACAGAACAAAATAAAGTCCAAATGATCCATAAATGATCAATAGSTTTTTGACAAAGGTGTCAAAGCAATTCAACTAAGAGGGAGTTTTTGAACAAAATGTTCTAGAAACTGGATGAACTTTGACCACCCCCTTCCACCATACATATACAAACATTAATTCAAGATGAATGATAGATCCAAATGAAAATTAAAACTACAATCATTAAAAAACAAAAGATAGAAAACTTTGGGATAGGAAAAGATTTCTTTTTTGGGTGGTCGGGGGATACTGGGGTTAGAACTCAGGGGCACTGGACCACTAAACCACATCCCCAGCCCTCTTTTGTATTTCATTTAGAGACAGAGTCTCACTGAGTTGCTTAGCACCTTGCCTTTGCTGAGGCTGGCTTTGAACTCATGTCTCAGCGTCGTAAGCCATTGGGATTACAGGTTGTGCCGCTGTGTCTGAGTTATAATTATAATTTTCAACTGTGTCTGGCCAGGAAAAGTTTCTTTTAAAAGACTCTCCAAAAGCTCTAATCATAAAAGAAAAAATATTTATAAATTGCCATCATCAAAGTTAAAAACTTCAGTCCATCAAAAGTTACCATTAAGAAAATTAAAAGATAAACTGCAGACTGGAAGAAAATATCTGCAGTACATGAACTTGTCATTKCACTTGTATCCCAAATGCATTAAAGAATCCTTACAGTTCAATTGCAAGAAACAACACAGATATTTTTAATGACAAAAATATTTCACAAAAGAAGATATATAAAGAGTGAATAARATCATTAAAAGGTGCTTAAGTCCGTAGCCATCAGGAAAATGCAAACTGAAACTATGATGAGACTTTTCTTCACACATACCAGAATGGATACAATTTTTGTAAAAAGGCATACACTTTGTTAAAACTTGGTAAATCTTTCACAAGTTACATAATACCTACACTTTTACCTTTTGATTCTATAATTTCACTCTTAGGAATTGAAATGGAAGTAACATAACTCCACAAAAAGACTTGCACAAGAATGTTTGATAGCTTAATTCATAATAACCCCACACTGAAAACAACCCAAATGTGCATAAACAGAAGAAAAATATAATGCTTTACAGCTCATTCATGCAATAAAATGCTATTTAGGATAAACAAAAAAATGAGCTATTGATAAAAGCATCATAAGATGAATCTCTCTCTCTCTCTCTCTCTCTCTCTCTCTCTCTCTCTCTCGCTCTCTCTCTCTCTTCTCTCCTATTTCTTTCTATTTCTCTCTTTTCTATTTCTCTCTCTATTTCTCTCTCTCTTATATACATATATATATGCACTAAACAAAATAAGACAAACACAAAAGAAGTTTTGTATACTGTATGATTCCATTCATTTAGTTCTACAACAGGTAAAACTTACTTGTAGAGATAAAAGTCAGTATTCGTTGCTTATGAGAAGTAAAAATCCACTAGAAGGGAACATGAGGAAATCACTGGATTATAGGAAATATTCTATATATTATTGATGTTTGTATTTTTGTCAAAACTCTTTGAAGTATACCATCATGAATTTTATGTGATTTTTATTCAGCAGAGAGAAAATGCCGTAAGATTTGGCTAACTTAAGTACATTATTGACCTTTGAAAAGGATGTACAATAAAATGGGGGGCAGGAAAGAATGAACAAAAGCTATGGAAAGAGCACCTTAGAGAGACCTTGAGGGAGCCAGAGAGAAAGAAAAGAAGTTGACCAATGAAGACAAAGGGGTTGAAAGAAGGGAATTGAGGGAGCTCAAAATYCTTGGTAAAGTAAAAAGCAAACTCATTTGCAAGGAGTACAAAGGGTCATAGAAGGAAAAACTCAGATTGAAAGGGAGTGGAATTTTCTGAGTAGGTCCTATGAAGAAAGGGATGGAGAGTTTTCTTTATTAGTCATTTTTATAATCATTGAAGCAGGTTGGGGGGAGGCAAAAGGCAGTCAATGTAGAAAATGAATAATTGAATCTGATCAGCAAGATGGGGGGGGGCTGGTTAGAAAGGAAAGGAAATCAAATGCTGACATTTTCAAAGCCCTTCCCCTTCCTCCTGTTGCTAAGGTAACCTGCCCCAGGGATTGTTTCACCCAGCAAGGAGTGGTAGAGTTGTTAATTAATGCTTCCTGGGCTGCTACCTTCCTGCTTGGTTCACTCTTGGCCCATCTTTTGAGTGATTTGTCACATAGCCAGATGGGGAGAGGAGAGAGGCAAGATAAGGGGAGGAGAACATGAGAACAAAGGAATTCCCAATGTATAAAAGGGACAAGTCACCCCCACTTTGGATATCCAGCTCTGGGGCCCCTTCTATCTCTGTTCTATCCTTCAAATAAAACTTGCTTCCTACACCTCAGCGTTTCTTGGGTGTTCAGTCTTCACATCTGGGGAAACAGAACTCGGCCCTGTTTGATTTTTATCACAGTATCATCATTAGTTTAATTGACTTTATTCTGGATTACTATATGGGAGTTGGCTTTTTTTTCTTTTTTACTTCAAGGCACTAAATGAACTCAGGGTCTGTTACAAATGTGTTCAGCATGCACTTGGGGGGAGTTAAAAGGAGAGGGAGGAAACAAGTATCCATTTTGGTTGCATTTCTACAGAGCAGGGAAAATTACTTTTCCAAAGAATAACTGAGGAGGAACTACRCTTACAGCTTCTTGTCCTCCTTCCTCCCCAGTGAGCTGATGAATGACTTCACATAACAACCTCACTAGTGGTGAATTTGGACAAAATGAGTCCTTTGGCTTGGTTCCTTCCACTTTGCCTGTCTTTCAGAGATTCTGTCTCCARGATGCCTACATTCTCCTCCTTGTGAAGCTGTGAAGATCCACCTATGACAAAGTCCTTCAGTGGTAAAACTCTGACCTCCCCTGCTTTGACAGTAAGCTCATGAACTTCTACTCTGGCTTAAGCAAGCCAAAACACCACACATCCTCTTTTTCTCTATATCTCTTCTGGATTCTAAACAAATTGAGAAATAAGACAGGACTCAGAAGGAGAAGCATAGAGCTGCCCTGATTCTTCTCAGATTCTTTACTAGCCCTCTTCTGAATTGAACTTTAATTCACAGGCTTTCCTGCTGAGGTAACTGCTAACTTGAGAGTGGGGGTAGAGGAGCCATAAAGCCATGCGTGTCCAATGCTCTTCCCAAATTCACTGAGTCACTCTTTTGTCTGTGGGAAGAGGTGAATGAGGGAAATAGAAAAAGAGTTAGACTAAAAATAGCTTCCCATAATAATAAAAGCTAACATCCATTGAGCACTTACTCAATCCTAAATCCCTTTTATGGATTAACATATTTGAATCTCWAAACAACCCTATAAAGTTGGTACTGCTTTCATCCTCATTGTGCAGAGGAAGACATTTAAGGAGTGGAAAGGGGAAGAAACTTCTTCAAGGTCAGGAAATGGAATTCTGCTTGGGGAGATGACTGATCAGCTTGCATGTAGGGCCAAGCAAGAATACAGACAACCCAAAACCAGCTCGAAAGTAACGGAGGCCTGTYGAGTTCACCATCCTACTTTTTCAGTGAAAGTTGTCCTTCACTTTTCAACATATCACCTGAGATTTATGATTCCTTAAATATTGTACATCCTACTGCAAATAGAAATAAGCTTTATGAATTATGAAATTATAACAAACTATAGCTGCAAGGCCTTTGACGTTCAGATAGTCAAAATTCTTCTGTTAAGGGATGAGAAAAATGAGGTCCTAGGCAGTTAAATTATTTGCCCAAGGTCATATGGCTGGTGGCACAAAGATATGGCTTAAACCTCATTCACCAGATCTTTTAAGGTGACCCTCTGGTTATTATGTCWTCATCAATACATAAATCAATTGATGAGCTGAATAAGAGGGGGGGAAGCCAATTATTGGCATTTTAATTACTATATATATTTCTCCTCTATACAAATTAAATTAATTCAATTTTTTCTAGGTGCCCTGCCTTATAATATTACTTTCCTTATAAAAGTCTCTTTGTAAAAGATAATACCTCAGCTGGAGGTATAGACAAGTGAATTGGAACAGACTTTAGGTAYTGCAGAAAGCCCTGCGTGGACAACTATTCGTAGTTTCATAACCTCCCATAAAATCTGGATGCTCTTACTTTGTAATGCATCTGTTTCTGTTCAACAGGCAATAAAGAGAGTCTCCAAAGTAAACCTGAACAGAGTTCTCTCTCCATCTGTCAGAGGAAAAGCCCAAGAGGGTGTTTTGCCTGCAGAAAGATGAGACCCTCAGCTGGCTCCGGAAAGGCACTGTAATGGCAGCCTGTCTGCACAGATGTGCAGGATAGGAGAAAACAGCATTTTTTGTTGCTGTTGTTAGTGATAATAAAATGGGTGGGTGTTTCTTTTTTCTTTTTTTTTTWAATGAAAATGACATAGTAGTTTTAAATCCTTTGCTTTTATATTACCTTTTCCCTCAAGCTCATAATGGTTTACTACACTCATATAAAATAAAATTTAATGCCCCCAATTCTGTGGCTGAGCAAGTGCTAAGAATCCCAGAGTTGAGAAATCCATAACAACATCAGTTTTAGAACTTTGTTTCAAACCCCCACTTTTCCACTTAGACTACCCAAGTCATGTTGTTTCTGGGTTCTCTTAAGTGTTGGGGAAATCATCTGCTTGAAATCATCATCTTACTTCAGTCCCTCAGAACCTTTGTGTTGTGTTTAAATCCCCCAAGGACATGAGGCTGGACATGAGGCTGGACACGATGCTTTCAGAGGATCTGAATGGGGATGGAGAGAAGGGGGCAATGTTTAACCAAGTCTTGCCATAAACAACTTACTTGCTGACTTCTTGAGGAAGCCACGTAAGSTGATTTCTGTTCAGATTAAGCAGGATCAAATTTTGTAAGCCATCTGTTAGAAAATAATTTCAGTCATTTGAGCCATCTGTTAGAAAATAAGGTTTAGTCACTTTTATATACACCTTTGTTTTCCTTCTGGCTTTTTGCTTTGGTTGCTGTTGACAAATACCCTCATAGAGGTCAGGCACGGTGGCATATGCCTGTAAGCCCAGGACTTCAGAGGCTTAGGCAGGAGGATAACAACCTTGAGGGCAGCCTCAGAACCTTAGAAAAACCCTCAGTAACTTAACAAGACCCTGTCTGAAAGAAAGAAAGAAAGAAAGAAAGAAAGAAAGAAAGAAAGAAAGAAAGAAAGAAAGAAAGAAAGAAAGAAAGAGAAAGAAGCTTTATTTTCACATTAAAGCTTCTCTGAGTTCCATATTTACATCCTCTCTCTTGGCTCTGTCTCTCCCTACCCAATATGTTCTTTCTCTTTTGAACAGATTTGCTCTCTTTTCCCATGCTGGACCATTCCACAACTCCTGAGTTTGAATGTTCACAGTCAGGGCAAAGAGAGTTCTCCCTCTCAATTGCCTACAGGAATCAAGAAAGCCTTATGCTTTGTCAACCAGAGCCACCACCATGTAGCCAACTCCCTGTAATTATCAGGGGGGAATATGATTGCAGTGTTGTTTCTTTTTGTAAAACAGAAAAGAGCCAGAGATCTAGACATTTTTGTGAACTCTCCTACTTGAAAATTTTGGCACCCGGTTAAAAATTTTGAAATGGCCAACRAAACAGAACCAATTTATTTATGACCCAGATTTAGCTCATTCCATTTGTCTCAGGTCATGTGATTTTTCTCAAACCAGTTAAACTGTTTTAGACTATCACAACCCTCAAGAAAGAGAGTGTATGACTGATTCAGGGTGGTGATGCATGTCTACTCTGGTCAATCTGCTTTGGTTAGAGGGACAGATTCCCATGTAACACAGCAAGGCTTTCAACCCACACTGAACAACGCTGAACCCCTGATGCCAAATCACTTCTACCCCTGGATAATCAGGACYTTATAATTTAAATAAAAAATCACAGGGAAATTTTCAAATTTCTACCTTGACAGCTGAGGCTGTAACTCATGGTAGAGCCAGCCCTTCCTAGCATATTCAATCCCCAACCTTGCAAAATATATAAATAAATAAAGTACCTCGTGGTTATTATATGAGAACGTGATTGCAGTGTTGATGATGTATGGCACCCCTGTCCCCCAAATTTCACAGAAATTCATAAAGTCTATAACGTGTCTCTAGTTTTGCCATTAGGAACTGTTATGGTTTGGATCTTGAATGTTCCCCCAAGGCTCATGTGTTGATGTTGGTCCCTACTTGATAGAGCTATTGGAAGATGGTAGAATCTTTAGGAGGCAGGACCTAGTGGAAAGAAGTTAGGACAGTAGAGAAGAGCCCTGGAGGAGGGTATTGGAAACCCACCCCCTTCTTCCCCACCCCCCTGCTGCCTTCTCTTTGCTTTCAAGCCACTGTTGAGGTGAGCAGTTTTGCTCCTCACATAYTTTCCACTATGATGTGCCACCTCACCTCAGGCCCAAAAGCAACAGAGCCAAATRCCTGTTATGGTTTAGGTATAAGGTGTTCCCCAAAAGCTCATGCAAGAGATGATGAAAGAAAGTCTAGAGGAGAGATGATTGGATTATGAGAGCTTTAACCTAATTGGTGCATTCATCCACTGACAGTGATTAACTGCCTAGGGTAAGGTAACCTAGGCAAGTAGAGTTYTGCTGGAGGAGGTGGGTCAGTGGGCTTGTTCCTTTTGGGTTTATATTTTGTCTTTCTTGAACAAAACACCCTCTGCTTCCTGGTGCCATRTCATGAGCCACTTTCCTCCACCATATCCTTCCACCACAATGTTCTGCCTCACCTCAGGCCCCAAGGAATRGAGTTGGTCATCTATGATCTCAAACTGTGAACTTCAAAATAAACCTTTCCTCTTYTTGTCAGGTCTTTTGGTCACAGCAGCGAGAAAGCTGACTAACACAGTACCCAAGACTGAAACTTCTGAAACTGTGAGCCCTAATTAACCTTTCCTCCTTCTAAGTTGTTTATCTCAGGTATTTTGTTACTGCAATGACAGCTAACTAACAAGGTGGTGAAGTGCCTACRTGAGTTAAAGCTATATAGACCACCTGGGATCTCTTTGTCAGAAATGTATCCTTAAACCCACTGTACCTATATTATTAAATAAGAGTGGCATACTGAATGGAGAAGTATTTAGCTTAAAACACACACAAAGTAAAGACTGCAAGTCATTGGATCTCATATCTTTCCTTTAAAATCCTTCCCTAATTGACTCATATTTAACATTTTGATCAAAAATTGTGACTTAATAGCTGGAGCAAATTAAAAATGAAAAGAACAAGRAGAATAGTAAAGAGCTCCTCTTGATTTTTGTTTTCAAAATATTTTACTCTGACTCAGGAAAAAGACCTCCAAAGAGTCTCAATGTACACCAATTCTGAAAAGGAGAAAATGAACACCAGTTTGGTTTAAGCTTAACACTAACGTTTTTTATTCTCTTAGATCTACATGGAAATTAATRTTTGTTATAAAAATTGAAAAGCAAAAAAAAAAAGTAGTGCCTCAAAAATTTCTTAATCTTAAAAGTGAAAATAGCTCCAAAACCAAAAAAAAAAAAAAATGATTAAAGCATGAAAAATTCTTTCTCATTTCAGTCCATATTATTAAATATGAGGGGTTAAATTTGAAACTATAATGTCATTCTTTGACTAACTTACCACATGCTCCAGATGCAAATCTACAAATCTTATTTCCAAATAAATGAAGCTTCTTCAAGGAGGTAAGGTATTTCATCTCTTCTGGGACTTCTTCTAAAAGGTTGTTTCCTAGATTTAGTATTTTCAACTACAAACATATAGAGATTTAATCAGCTCATACRTTATCCACCTTCATATGAAAAAATAAATAATTTAAGCCCCTTTGCTCAGATCTACCTAACTTAAGGAAACCAAGATATTTGAGAATTACTTCATTTACACACCTGAAAATATCTTTATGAAGTTCACTTGAGCTTCATGCTCAAATGCTATGCCAATTAAATCACAATTTAGGTCTCAATCAAAGCACTCAACTTCATTAAAATCATATTACAAATTCTTGTAATATGTAAGAAAATTCTTGGAAGAACTTTTGCTATTATGAAAAAATTAAAAGGGGCATTTTAAAATGAACTAATGACCCATTCATAACTCACTTGAGCAACCCAGCAGTATTCCAACATTGTGACCCACAGAATCAACCACTGAAATCTCAGTAAAAGGAAATCAGAAACAGCTAAAGATCTGAAGACTTCCATCATACTATTCCCAAATGAGCTAACAAGACCACTCCATTATGTGGATATAACTGGGGGTCTTTAACTTTGGCGGCCCTCTGTGTGATCACAAAATTCACAAAGGCATCTACTGAAATGGTCTGAGTAAACCAGAGAAGATGTACCCTGGATGTACCTGTCCTAAAAATAACAGATTGGTCAGACATAGGAAGAACTGCACATAGAAAARGTTTAAAAGTTCCCTCTTAGTCCTTTAGTTCAATAAATCAGTGATAMAGGATTGTTTTCTAAAGCATGGCAGTTTTCTTTCTTTCTATTTATTTATTTATTTACTTATAGTGGGAATTGAACTCAGGGGCACTTAACCACTGGGCCACATCCCCAGCCCTATTTTGTATTTTATTTAGAGACGGAGTCTCACTGAGTTGCTTAGAGCCTGGCTTTTGCTGAGGCTGGCTTTGAACTGGAGAGCCCGCTGCCTCCTGAGCCGCTGGGATTAGGGCGTGCACCTCTATGCCTGGCTTTTATTTTTATTTTTATTGGTGCATTTTAACTGTACATAATAGTGCATTAATTGTTATATATTTATATACGCAATATAATTTTGTCAGTTTTGTACCCCATACCTTCCTTCCTCTCCCCTCCTCCCTCCCCCTGGTCCCCTTCCTCCACTCTATTGGTCTTTTCAAGAGACAAAAAATCTGCTCTTTGATTTCCAAATGTAATTTACCACTCATGGACAATTATCAACTTCACGGTTTAGACTTTTAATATTAAGGGCAAAAGAAAATGAATCTTGGGTGCTTTCACAAATCAATTTATGCAAGACAAGAAAAATAATTAAGGTGCAAATTTGAGCAATTTTACATTTTTACTTATATTTGGTATAGACTTTTGTCAATGGTTTAAATTAATATAAAAAAAAAGTAGACAGAGACTTTTACAATGAAATTTCTTATCCCAAGAATTCATGGTAATGGTTTCACTTCCATTGTGTTTTCACCTGAGAATTAACATTGTTCTATATACGTGTGTATGTGTGTGTGTGTGTGTGTGTGTGTGTACACGTGTGCATGTGTACACAAGCACAATGCATTTGTTAGTTTGGAGACCTTATTCTATTGTAAAGGTGAAGTTGAAATACATTCTTGCAGTCATTTGAATGAAAAGGCTTATTTCAGAGTCTGTAACAAATTATCCCAACCATATCTTTGCCCTTTTTAATTTTTTTCTCCCTGCTCTGTCCTTTATTTACTCCCTTCCATGTTTCTCCCTCAGTTGATTACAAAAGTCTCTATCTCCCGCTTTCCAGGATAAGCAGTGTCACATAAGCCAAGAGGAAAGAAAAGGAGAAGAAAATGATTTCAAGAAGAAAGATGCGGGTCAACTCCCGGGGGGAAGGTTAAGTTTAAGAAAGTACAAAAAGAGCCACTGGATTTAGCAACATGAAAGCCATTAGTGACCTTAACAATAGGGGTGAAGTGCTGGGCAAAAAAGTCTGATTGAAGTGGGCTGTGGATAAAATATAAGAAAGCAAAGACAATGACTTGTAGAAAATTCTTGTAAGAACTTTTGCTATTAAGAAAAAAATAAAAAATAAGCAAAGAACTGGAGGGTATTTTTTTTCCTTTAAATTCAAAACTAAAAAGATAGTACAGCTTATTTATATGCTGATAGAAAARAAAATCCTATGGGAAATGAGAAACTAATTATATAAGGAGAGGGATAATTACARAATCAAATGATTTAGAAGATGGGACTCAAAGTACAAGTGGATGCTGGCCAGAAGAGTAGGGGCTCGTCATCTGGGGTAGTAAGAAGAAAGGTAGAGAAAGCAAGAGCAGGTAGGGAAGAGAATGGGTTTGGTGATGGAAAGATGGGGTTCCTGACTGGCTGGCAGTATCTGTTTTCTACACAGGATATGAAACAAAGTCATCCAGTGGGAGGAGAAGATACAAGAGTCTGAAGAAAAGGAAAAAAAAAATCATTGTACAAAGTAAGCTAGAAATAACACAGGGGGACTGATTACCATGGTTGGTTTTTGATCCAGTTTAGCTCCCAGGAAAAAAAATGTTGCAAAAGACACAGATGACCCAGAAAGGCCATCTTTATCTGATGTACTAACTACAGAGCAGTTTGGCTAAAAAATGTTACACAAATTCTAAGCTTTACAAGAAAGATTGTGAAATGTAGACGTTAAAAGGGGGTGAAGAAAATATGACCTGACGTTCGTTCTTTCTTTTCTCCCTCCCTCCCCCTTCCTTTCTTCCTCCCTCTTCCACTCCCCCTCCCTCTTTCCTTCCCCCTCTCTCAGGAATTTAACTGAGAGGTGCTTAACCACTGAGCCACATCCACAGCTCTATTTTATTTTTTGAGACAGGGCCTCCCTAAGTTGCTGAGGATCTGAAACTTGCAATCCTCCTGCCTCAGCCTCCTCAGTCACTGGGATTATAGGTGGTGCCACAGCACCCAGAAAGGTTATCCTTCATAGAGTAAGATAACCAAAGGAAGTCTCAGTGGTGGCCTTTAACTTCACACATTTCTCCTAAAGGACAGATGACAGTATTCACATTCTGTTGCCTTGGCAAACATGCAGGCTTCAACACATATTACTTAAATTATACCTAAGGTGCAGGRACATTGAGGAAAAGACTGAGTTACCTTGAGAAATGTCTCACAACCTAGATGCTTCATGAATTCAGTTATATTTATCATGTGTTTATAACATACTGGAAGCTCTCTTCTGAATGTTACAAGTACCACTGTGAACAAGACCCAAAAGATCCTGCTTATATGTTGAGAAGTGGGGCAGACAACAAATAAGTAAACAAACAGACCACCAATTCCCTTTTGTGCTCAGTGCTAGATATGAAGGAAAGAAACCAGGAAAATGAGATGAAAAGTAACATGAGGTCAAATTAGATTGTAAGGAAATCAAAAATCTCCTCTGAGGAGGAGATGTTTGAGGTGAGAAATTTAGGACTTCTTGATAGGTTGTTCAAAATGGTTTACTGAAAAGATCTGCAGAAATAAATACACACACACACACACACACACACACACACACACACACACACTACCGTCCCACAGGAAAGAGTTTTTGCCATGTTTCATTAGTAACACTGCATGGTTGTGGATAGTTCCTAAAGAAAGTTTTTCAGTTATATAATATACAACCTGATAAGTTTTAAAGCCTGCTTTACTTCAATAACTATCTAAAGAATGAATTTCTGTTGGTATTTTTCGTAACTCCTCTGTCCTTTGGAAATTAGCATGTAGCCTCTTGTTAATAACTTCTTATAAACCCCTGACACAGGAGTTAGAGCATCTCACAATTAGAAGTACCTTTTATAAGTCATCAAGTCCAACATAAAAACACAGTTGGGCATTTCCTCATGAACACATCAGTAAAAGGAGCTCTTTTATCCTGTTCAAAAATTTCATCTATTCATTACCTTTTGTAATTTGGCTTTCTGTAACTTCTAAATAATTCTTCCACATCAACAATAAAAAATAGTTTTATTCTCCTATGTAACAATCTTACATTTTTGAAGATTGTGATCATATTCTTCCTAAATGTGCTCCATTCTCCCCTAACCATGTCCCTTAGGACATAATTTCCAGACCCCTGACCATCCTGTCTGCTCTCTAATCTTTCTGAGTGCTCCCCTCTGAAGATGTGGTGCCTGGGGTGAGATGAGAAATGAGAGCTCATAGCACAGATGCTGGTGCGACCTTTGGGTCTCCCTAGGGCAGATGATTACACTCGTGTTAATGCATTCTAACATGGCATGCACTCTTTCAGCAACAGGGCGCATTGTTGGTGCATAATTAATTTTGCCTGTGGCCAACAAACCCCCCTAAGTTAGCTGTCATGCAGATAACCCACATCCTGAACTTGTGCAACTGAATTCTTTTCTTAACCTAAATATATGATTTACATTTAACTCTGTAAAAATTGTATCTTGTTGGTTTTGGCTCCTAAGTCATCTCCAGAGGGTCACTCTTAATTCAAAGCCTAAACCTAGACAAGACTGCAGAACAAGCTAGATCTGTTTTTCCCATCTCTACTATGAACAATACACCCATTGTTCTTATAATACTTTGATGGTCGAACTTTGGAATTATTAAATATGGAAAATGACAAACCCCAAAATAGTGTGTCCTGGGAAGAGGAAATGAGGAAGAATGCAACATACATTGATAACATTGACCCTTTCCCAATACATTCTTTCCCAGTGACAAGACAAGCCCTGGGGAGGAGACATCCATCAAGCCTGGAATGACARTCTCTGGGAAAAAGCCAAAACATTGATCTTTCCCAAAACAAATCCTTCCCCAGACCCTCCATCTTGCCCAGTAAAAACAGATCTCAAATTCCTGAGTCCCCAAATTGACATGCTCATTAATTTAAGTCACCTCTCAGYGTAATCTATATAAGCACAGATTCCCACTTTGGCCAATGACTCATTTTCCACCAGGAAAGTGGTCCACCAGATATGTGATTTCACCACTGAATAAAGGCTGTGCTGATCCATGAAGTTTGCACCTGGCTCGGTCCTTTTGCACG